CGTTACCCGTTTAAGCGGGTTTTCACCTCCCCGTTCGGGGCGGGTCCCCGCGGGTATCGGGTTTGTCTGGTTTTTTTGCCATCCCTAGTCTGATTATATGTGTAGAGATCGGATCTATTGGTGTTGTATTTGACGCTGAGCCATATATGGAATATACATAGGGTTATGTCCTCCAATTAATATATAATTTCTTGTTCTTTGTGTTATCCCATCAACACAGGAATAACAAGAGAAAACATATTGAAAATGAAGATTCAAAACCCACAATCAAGAATAAGAAATCAACAATTAAGAAGAATGAACTAAGACAATCAAGATTGGGTGCAAGAAGTCAAAATCAAGAACAAGAATTCAAGAACTAAAATGAGACAATATTCAAGATTAAAAATTAAGAAGTCAAACATGAAGAGATTACAGTTGATCTTCAAAATTCAAGATCTAGTTATAAAGAGTTGTCGTGGAAACTCGCTCCAATGATCTTCAAAACGGTATTTTTTGGGCTCGATTTCACATTACATTTTTCATCCAATATGTAAGATTATGTTATGTTTTAGTTGGACCAATAATAGAGTTAAATGGACCAAAATTCAAAGTCATCTAATATGTAAATATATATGGACCGTGAGTAATATTAATTTCTTAAACTACTTTCAACGATCCATATTATTTTCGAGTTGAGCATTTAGACTTGGTTGGTGGTAACAATTTCACTCATTAGCTAATGCCAACGAAATTCAGTCCAACATTTACATCATAACCCAGGATTCATTGGGTATCAAAATCCAACAAATCTCCACCTTAATACCAAATCAACCTGTAAGCAATCAAAAAACACAAAGTTATTACTAATCAAAACAACTAATAAAATTGAGATCACAGACCTTACCTCATGTTTTGAACCCAAAACACATACCACACCTGCTACATGTACTCATCGGGACTAACGTCCATAAGTACCCAAGTAGAAGTAGATAATTACAGTAAACAATCAAGAACAAATAATCATACGATGAAAATATAACACATGATAACCCACAGATTTTTTCGAAAAACACGTTCACAAAGAACAACAAATTAACACCAAGTTAATCAACAAACGACCAACACATATGCAACAAATGCGTAAATGACCCCACGAAAAGATCTCACCACACTTATTCTACCACATTCCATTTTACTCACAACTCAAGAACACATATCTTCTTTCATCGCTCACCATTCTCACTAGATTGATCACTAACCTCATGTCTAACTGGTAAAACACAATAGATCCTAAATCCATGGGATAATCATCTATCATCACATCACTTCTCCCAACATAAGTAAATAATTGGTCTCCACTTAACAGAAGTGATAAAATTGTCACTCTCACACTCCACCTGTACAGGGTCTTTCACAGATAAATGATTCCAACATTTAATCACCTCTCTACTCGTAATCAAAATGTCACGCTCCACATCCCCAGTACAAACCATCAATGTACCCTTAGGCATCTATACTTTACCTTACCAAAAGACACTCAGCACACTTATCGCTAATGCATCCCACCTACTATGCATGTAAAACACATTGCACCAAGTAATCACATTTCTGTCAAATTCATGCAAATGCACATATTAAACACATTGAAATTCAACATAATTAAGCAATCACATGCATGCATAAAGGATTACACAAATATGCACACGTAGTAACTAAGTTTACTCTCAATAAATCCCGCTAGGGTCATCACTTGACTCTATAGCCACATTGGCCGCACCTCTCATCTTACCCATCTGCTTATCATTTTTCTTGGGACAATTCCTTACAAAGTGTCCAGACTTACCACAGTTGTAACACCGTTTACCACTGCACTTGTCCTGACCCTTTTTCTTACTATCCTTATCACTCGAGTCACTACTCGAATCACAACTTTCTTGAGCTCTACACAAAATCATCTGCTAAACTTCATTCTACTCCTCATC